GGCCGAGGGCTCCTGCCTCCCTGGCCCGGGCCGAGGGCTCCTGCCTCCCTGGCCCGGGCCGAGGGCTCCTGCCTCCCTGGCCCGGGCTGAGGGCTCCTGCCTCCCTAGCTCAGGCTGAGGGCTCCTGCCTCCCTAGCCCAGGCTGAGGGCTCCTGCCTCCCTGGCCCAGGCTGAGGGCTCCTGCCTCCCTAGATCAGGCTGAGGGCTCCTGCCTCGCCAGGGCCTGTCCCTGGCCTGTGTCCTCCAGGTACTTCAGTCCCTTGCTGATTGCCCAACCATAGGCATCAGTCCTGCCCACCTCCTTCTCCCCCAGCAACAGAGGTGTTTATTTTTTCTTGGGCATCTTCGCTTTTATGAAAGACTTCAAACACAAAGAAACGCAAAGCCAGTGAGAGTGTATGTACCTGCCACTCATCTGTCAGGCACTGTCCTCCCACACCTGCCTCTCTGCTCTCTCCACAAAGCCCACGCACTGGCCCTGGGTCCTCACTCTGCTTGCCTGGCTCTGCCACGTGGTGGGCTGTGCGCCCCCTCAAATGCTATGCCCGAAGCCTGGTGTGTTCCTGGTAAGCTGTTACGTCTGCTCGAGTTAGACACCTTCCTGTTCCACACTGCGCAGTAAGCCTGGCCTTAAGGATATCTGCCATTGCTGAGACAGACCTTTGCCCTGGGCAGGCAGCACCCTCAACCAGGTGGACTCGGGTGAGAAGTGGGCCAGCCACTGTATAGTACCGGGACCTCTGGGGTCACCGCTGCTTTGGAGAGGCTCAGACCCTACTAGGGGTGGAAACTGTCTGCTGGGAACAGCATTCCCTAGGATCTCCTGTTTCGGGGAAGGCCCCACCCCAGTAACCTTGGACTTATTGGCAGAGCAGGCCTAGGATGCCGCATGTGTTGGGTATGACTGGCTTAGCCCAGCCATGGCATCTCATCCTCCCCATCCTTCTCTATTGGCCACTTCTCCTCATAGTTTTGGGCCCCCTGGGGAAGTGATACCCACTGAGCTTATGTCACTGTCCTGAAATGCTGCCCTCCAGGGCTCTGAGAAGTTTTAGAGTGAGGGCGCTGAATAGCAGACCAAGCTAGGGGAGTCATAGGTTGTGGGTCATAGGGCAGCCACTGTAGTGTCAGTATTGATAGGTAATGACCCTCTTGGCTCACTGAGCCACCCATCCTCTTGTCCCCACAGTGGCTTCTTCTTTCTCCCCAGCTTATTTTCCAAACAATTTGCTTAATGTGATTCCCAGCCAAGTTGAACATGACGAATGGTTGTTTACCCACCACCGTCGGGCGGGCGGGCCGGGAACGGTTGGAGGAAGGAATGCCTGAATGTGTACACTCACGATGCCCTCTTCTCTTGCAGAGACACACAGGGGCTGGTGACTGGCCTGAAGCTGGCAGCATGGAGCCCCTCTTTCCAGCTTCCACGCCCAGCTGGAATGCCTCGGCTGCTTCCAGTGGTAACCGTAACTGGTCCCTGGTGGGCCCAGTATCATCGATGGGAGCTCCGGGGATACTAGTGCCTGTGCTCTACTTACTGGTGTGCACGGTGGGGCTGGGGGGAAACACACTGGTCATCTATGTGGTGCTGCGGCATGCCAAGATGAAGACAGTTACGAACGTATACATCCTGAACCTGGCCGTGGCCGACGTATTGTTTATGTTGGGGCTTCCCTTCCTGGCTACACAGAACGCCATCTCCTACTGGCCCTTTGGCTCCTTCCTATGCCGCCTGGTCATGACGCTGGATGGCATCAACCAGTTCACCAGCATCTTCTGCCTCACCGTCATGAGCGTGGACCGCTACCTGGCCGTGGTGCACCCCACACGCTCGGCCCGCTGGCGCACGGCACCCGTGGCCCGCACAGTCAGTGCGGCGGTCTGGGTGGCCTCGGCTGTGGTGGTGTTGCCTGTGGTCGTCTTCTCAGGCGTGCCCCGGGGCATGAGCACATGCCACATGCAATGGCCAGAGCCAGCGGCTGCTTGGCGAGCAGCCTTCATCATCTACACGGCTGCACTGGGCTTCTTTGGGCCCCTGCTGGTCATCTGTCTGTGCTACCTGCTCATTGTGGTGAAGGTGAAGGCCGCCGGTGTACGCGTGGGCTCCTCCCGGCGACGGCGCTCAGAGCGCAAGGTGACTCGTATGGTGGTGGTGGTGGTGCTGGTGTTCGTGGGCTGCTGGCTGCCTTTCTTCATTGTCAACATCGTCAACCTGGCCTTCACGCTGCCTGAGGAGCCCGTCTCCGCTGGCCTCTACTTCTTCGTGGTGGTCTTGTCTTACGCCAACAGCTGTGCCAACCCCCTGCTCTATGGCTTTCTCTCTGATAACTTCCGCCAGAGCTTCCGGAAGGTTCTGTGCCTGCGTAGAGGATACGGGATGGAGGATGCAGATGTCGTAGAACCACAGCCGGACAAGAGTGGGCGGCCGCAGGCCACACTGCCCACACGCAGCTGTGAGGCCAACGGACTCATGCAGACCAGCAGGCTTTGAGTGCCCCGCCCCGGAGCACCCTGGTCCTGCCAGGCCTCTCTGATGTCGCCCTCTGGGATGTGAGTGTGCCGACATACTCTTGTGCCCAGTCTGCAAGCTGGACTCCTCTTGGTAGCAGTGTGAAGGCAGCTGCCTGGGGCTAAGCCAAGGGTGGGCAGCACAGTTGGGGTCCTGGGTGCCTGACCATCTCTTCCACCAAAATGTTCTGCCAGGCCAGGGTCTGAGAGTTTGGAGATCGCGAGATGGGCTTGGCGGGGAGCAAGGGCTCAGGTTTGCCCCCTGGAAATATTCAGGCACCTTCACCGGCGCTGTGGCGCAGCTGTCAGCCTCTCGGGCCAAGAGGCAGTTTTCCAGGAGGCAGCCACGAGATGCTCGTGTAAACTGTTGGTCTGTGTCGGTGACTGCCCACCCTGGAGCTGTGCTGGGATGCTGGCCCCCGGCCACTGCTCCATCCATGTTCTGCTTACACGGAAGCCAAAGGAGAGGTAACCACGTGTGCTCGGCCCCAGCCTCTGCTCACAGAGCTCCTAGGCCCCTGTGATCTTGCAGCTGCGTGTACTTCGAGGCAACAGTTGAGGAAAAGCCGCACCGGCCCCGGGACAAAGGAGATAAAACCCTGGGGGCCTATTCTGGCCTTTCCCCATCTTTCTCCAGCGTGAGGAAAGTGAGGCCGTGGGCTCCGCGGTGGGAATGGGTGTGCGGGGCCGACAGGTGGTGAAGAGCAGGAAGATGAGTGAATAAACACACATGGCAAAGAGTGGACAGAGGAACAGACTCCCCGGGATCTGGTCTGTACAGAGTGGCCCCTGAGGGTGACCCTGGGGAAAGACTCTACAGAGGCTTCCCTGAGGTTCAGAGACTGTGAGGACACACAGGGGACTTAATCGCCCTCCTTCTCCTTAAGGCAGAATGCTAGGCCCTGTTCTTGGAGAGGGAGCAGGGGGAGCAGGTAGCAACGGGCACTGCTCCCAGTGCAAACAGCACAGCCTGGAGAGACCTACGTGTGCGCGTGCAAATGCCAGTGCCAGTGAGGGCCGAGGCCCTGGGGAGCCTGCGGTCCCTCCCCAGGCTCCTCCAGCAGCTTCTCCACTCCGGCCCCAGAATGCCCTCAAAGAGCCCCCACGTCCGCATTTTTACTGGGGTCCCCAGGGCACCCTTGGGCCTTTCTGAAGCTGGAGAAAGAAGTTAATCCAATTAGTCTCCTGCTCTGGGCCGCCCTGCCTGGCAATGCCTGGCTCCCTAGGAGGGTGTAGAGGCCAGGCCAGGAGGACAGGGCAGAGGAAGGCTGTGGGAGCTGCTGGGTCTCCAATGGGACCCCTCCCGAGACAGATGCCAAGCCTGGAAGGCACCTGTGTCCGACAACCTGCCCCTGAATAAATAATAATAATAATAAATAGAAATAAAAGTGTTTAATGACTTTTATTTCTAAATAAAAAAGTGAATGAATAGAAAACAAAGTGTTGGATTCTTTCCCAAAGCAAATGTTGTCTGTGGATCCAAGTGAGGTCAGCTCAAAGCAGAGAACCCCATAAATACAATGCCATCAGCTCCCAGAGAGCTGACCTCACATAGGAAGGTGGGGGCAATTCCAGCTGGAGGTTCTGGACTCCGTTCTCAGGAGCTGATGGCAAGACCCGCCCCACCCACCAATGTCAGCGTCTCAAAGAGGAGTGTTCCTAAAAGAAACTGAAGCCACTTTACCCTGTCAGCCTCTGCCCACCATTGAAACCCCTGGAATTGGGCCACAAAGGGGAACCACACCAAATGGCTCAGGAGAGTGAGTTTGGCAAAGGGGGTTCCTGACCAGACGAAAGTACTCTCAGAGGTATAGACGTGACAGGTAGCCAGCACCCTCTTACAGAAAGCAAGGCACCAGCATGTCCCATGGAATTAGACATAGAGGTGGATGGAGGTGCTTCTTAGATTATCCTTGGTCCTAGAAGCTTCCCCTAGACCTCTGGGCACCCTGTTCCCTATCTGCCAGCCTGACGCCCCATATGGCAGGCAGCAGCACCCCAGCCCCAGGGAGCCCATCCCTCTGTACCCCAATCCAGGCTCGCCCCTCAGCAGGGCTGCAATCTGTGTACCCCAATCCAGGCTCACCCCTCAGCAAGGCTGCAATCTGTGTACCCCAATCCAGGCTCACCCCTCAGCAAGGCTGCAATCTGTGTACCCCAATCCAGGCTCACCCCTCAGCAAGGCTGCAGTCTGGCCATACTGCATTCTTATGACCTTGACCCATTCCACTGACCACTTGATGGTCAAGTGCATACCATCGCAGCCCCCAGACCCAAACTACTAGTACACAATGCCCCCTTTCCGATCCTTCCTGGTGGTTCTGCCATACTGACCCCATGGGCAGGCATCAGTCAGTTCCTATGCTTCCCTAAGCTAGACTGGAGGAGTATTTTAACAGAGAGAACCACGTGTGTGAAGTCTCAGAGGCCAAGAAACACAGGAAAATAAACCCTCCTGTCAGAATAGGTGGGGTGTCTGGGACATGTTGTAGCAGAAAAGAGGAATAGGTGCAGCCCCAACTCTGCCTCCAGGGTCTCATTATGGGTCGCTAGCTGAGATGACGCTGGAGGAGGGGAAGGCCAGGTGTGAAGAGAGTCAGGTGCTAGGCTACCAGGGATGGGGCAGGATGTGGCCTGAGCAAGGTGGGTGAATGAGATGGGGATCCCAAGAGAGGCTAGCACGACATCCCTGGCAAGGGCTGGGGCCGTAACCTAGACTGGTTCCTGACGAGGGAGCACAGTAGGGCAAGACCCAGGATTGAGAAATGTGTGGACTATTCTGGGAGTCCAAACTTGGCCGACATGGATGGGCAGAGACAGGGCCCTGAACGCTCCTGTATTTTTAAAGGCCTGATGGGTTCCCAGGAGAGCCACGGGTCCTGGTCATTATAGTCCTGGGATATCCTCCGCTGCAGTCACGGAGAATTGCAGGGGTAGCCCAAAGCAAACATTCTGGGACCACTGTGGCGGTCTGCTGATCTACTTTATGGCTCTGTCCGCATCAGTGGGTTTTATTGGACACTGGGTTCCAGTGACTGAGTGACCTTGCCCAGGAAATCCGGCCTGTGGGGCAGGGCCGAGGATGGGGACGGGGACAGGAGATGTGTGTTTGCCTGGCAGGGTGGGGCACAGCCTGGAAATGGTGGTGACAATCAGAGTCTCCTTAGCAGATCCATGTTACAGCCGCTCCTTTTGGCCTCCCCGCCCCCATCAGCAGGAGTAATGCCAGGGATCCCAGCACAGATCCTGAGAGAAAGGAACATTGTTCCCATCAGCCACCACTTTCAGGTGTCCTAGGGAAGAAAGGCAGGTAGAGGAGTAAAAATGGTGGGCTGCCACTGGCCCAGGTACCCGGGGACACCAACGCTTCTCACTAAGTAGGAGAGACTGAAGATGTCAAGACAGAGCATGGCTGGGAATGTCCATTTGGTCTCTCCCGCCCCTCACCCTTCAGGGCCCGCCTCCCGTGTTTCCTGGGACTCTGGCGTCTGTCATGGGAAACGGGGCCTCTCCACGGCAGCGGCTACAGAAAGCTTTGGTGGAAGGACACTTATACTGCCTTCAACTGGAAACCATGGGAGTTTGTATAAGTTAGGTGGAGGGCAGGGTCAGCATCACCAGATCTGGAAGAGAATACAAGAGAGAGGCCCACGCAGGAACAGCCAGGGACAGTGGTCTCCACCTCCCTCTGTCCTGGTCCCCCGGGCTCTCCATGGTCAGGCATGGCTGAAAGCTGGTCCATCACTGTCCAGAGTGAGTGCAGGCCAGTGGGAAGGTTGAGATCTGGCAGGCAAATCGGAGATACCTGACCCTTCACTCTGATCACAGGAGAGGATGTCTGTCCATCTGGCCCCTGATGCTCCTCCTTCCCGTGAGGCCTGAAGCTTTTGGGAAGGAGCCAGTGGCCAGGCCTATTGCCTCAGAAGTCTATGTCCTCACTCCTAACTCAGCCCTGAGTAGTTTACACTAGGTTTTCTGGAACAAGTCGGGGTGCTCCTCCTGCCCACCCGGGTGCTCCCTCCCGGCTGTGCTCCCTCCCATCGCTTCCCGTGGAATCATGTACTTGCTGTCTGTGGGTCACATTTCGCCAAGAACCTGTGTATATCCGATCACACTCTATTTGTCCCATCACTGGTTTATCACACTGGCATAATGTCCCCAAGGTTCATCTCTATGTCCTGACAGGTGTCAGCACATCCTGAGCAGCATCCTATTGCATCTGGGCCATGCTTCGTGCTTGGCGGACATGTGGATTGTGTCACCATTTGGGCTTGATGATGTCTAAAGCACATGTGGTTACATAAACCTATAATCCCAGCACTTGGCAGCGGGAGACCGGGCGCCAGGAGCTCAAGGCCAGCCTCAGCTATTGTGTGTTCAAGGCCAGTCTGGGCTACATGAGCCCCCCCCCCTCTGTCTCTCTCTGTCACTCTGTCTCTGTCTCTGTCTCTGTCTCTGTCTCTGTCTCTCTCTCTCTCCATATGTGTGTGTGTGTGTATATGTGTCAGAAAGTTAAACTCTAAAATCTTCTAGTTCATTCTTTCTCATCCATGCTATTTTCACAGAGTTTAAAAAAATGGATTTTTCTACACAGTATTTGTAATAGTATTATCCATAATAGACAGCAGCTAGAGACATCCTAAGATGAAGAGATGAGTTCTACCCATACGGTGGAATATTACTCAGCCATAAAAAGGAAAGAAGGTCTGATGCCAGTGACAATGAGGACGAAATATGATGGTCAGGCCAGGCGTGGTGACTCAGCCTGTAATTCCAGCACATGGGAGACGATTGAAATTTTAAATTTTATTTTTATCACTTCTCTCTCTCTCTCTCTCTCTCTCTCTCTCTCTCTCTCTCTCTCTCTCTGCAGATGCCTATGAATGTCAGAAGGGGGCATCAGAACTGGATCTAGAACTACAGGTGCTTGTAGGCCCCTGCCATGGGCTTTGGGAACAGAACTCAGGACCTATGTGAGAACAGCAAGCCCAGTGAACCACCAAGTCATCTCCCCAACCTTGAGAATCAATTTGGAGGCCAATCTCAGATGCAGAAAGAGACCCCGTATCAGAAGGAAAGAAGAAACGGCAGGGGAAGAGGAAGGGGAGGAAGGGGAATGGGAGGATGCTCTGTGAGGGGCACAGAGTACAGGCTGGGGTGCCACTTGCTCAAGATGCCCAGGAGGGGCACAGCCAGGAGAACAAGAGTCGAGTCCCATCGCTAGGCCTCAGGAGGCCTGAGGAGCTGCATGGAGGGGGAGGCTTCCCGAGCTGTGTGTTAAATGCTAATCAACTTTGCACCAAGTAGAAAGTTTCATGTGTGAGTTTCAGCTAATGAGTCAGGATTTGGTTTTGATGGGAATTCACTCAGCTGGAAATCAAATACAAGACAAGCCTTCCTTGGCAGGAGCATTGCCAAAATGTCTGCACACCGGAATATTTTTTCTCCCTTCCTTCTTTCCTTTTTTTTTTTTTTTTTTTTGTGGGGCAGGGGGTTGTTTTTTTGTGTTTTGTTTTTCAAGACAAGGTTTTTCTGTGTAACAGTCCTGGCTGTCCTGGAACTTGCTCTGTAGACCAGGCTGGCCTCAAACCCATAGAGATCTGGCAGCCTCTGCCTTCCAAGTGCTAGGTTTAAAGATGTGCTCTACCACACCTGACTTTCTCTTTTTCTTTCTTTCTTTTTTTTTAAATCTTATTTTTCAAGACAGGGTTCCTCTGTGTAGTTTTGATGCCTATCCTGGATCTCATTCTGTAGATCAGGCTGGCCTCGAACTCACAGATATCCACCTGGCTCTGCCTCCCAAGTGCTGGGATTAAAGGTGTGCGCCACCACCTCCCGACTCTGACTTTTTCTTTTTAAAGGATTGATTTTTTTGATTACTTTTAATTATGTGTTGGTATATATGTATGCATGTGGATAAATGCATGTGAGTGCAGGTGCCATGGAGGCAGAGATGCCAGATCCGCTGGAGCTGGAGTTTCAGGTGGTTGTGAGCTACCAACATGGGTTCTGTTGAAAGAGCAGCAATCGCCCTTAAGGGCTGAGCCGTCCCTCCAGCCCTGTATATTTTTCTTAGTTTTATCACATGGAGTGGAGCCAGCGTGTTCCTGATTAACTCTGGTTCTGCACAGCTGGCGGCCCAGGCTGCTGCCATAAATTCCCTCTAACTGTAATCTCTAATTGCTCAGGGCAGTGGCCAGAGTGCCATTGATTTTCCATCTTGGGCCTTTTCACAGGGTGAAAGGCTTATCACTCTGCCAGGATTGGCCGTGTCCCACGGGCTTCTATCACCGTGCAGAAAATCGAATCCTGACTATCACACCCCCTTCCAGCTCTGGTCATCCTAA